TGCTAAACCTTACACTAAAAAATGGTAGCTTGAGTTAACTTACACAGTTTTTCTGTTTACAGGCAAGAGGGAAGGAGGAAATATGTGGGCACCTGGGAATCACACTTGTTTCAGTTTCTTAAATGTAACCAGAATAATTTTTTTCTAAGCTTCAGTCCTGTTTTATTTATTGTTATTTGGACTAATATTTTTGAATTTGTCATGCCCAAGAAACCAAAATTTTAGCCAGGTAAAAACAAGGCACTCATTGATTTTTTTTTTTTTTTTACATAAATTTTTTTAAACTTCAGAAAATTCTTTCAATTTAAAATTACATTTTAGAAGATTAAATATTTTCAAATAAGAGTATTTTCACTCCAGAAGACATCTGCCCTTCTGTCCACCCCATGAAAGGTCTCCTTGGAAGCACTAACCACACGCCGCATGCAATGCCTGCCAGTGGGGCTGATGAACTGAACTTGTGAGGAGCAGTGACCATTCTGGAAGCAGTCCTTACCCCCGGGTGTCCGGGCAGGGAGACGGAGCAGTCCCCGCCACGCATGACAGGGGTCAGGCAGGCACCCAGGGGAGCTCAAGTTTTGCAATATGCAACACATCAGCAAAAAGCAGGTAAGAAGTGAAAAAAAATTTTAAGTACTTCAGGTGTTCTCCAAAGTCAAAGAGAATTTTAAAAGTAAGAAATAATTATTTTGCAGCTATTTGTACAAAATGCTATGTCTGTTTTATACAATTTGTTTTATACATGGGAGGTCTCAACCGAAGAGGTTCAAGGTATGCAATTCAAATTACTTGCTTAACTACTTGCAGGAAATATCACATATTTCCCAAGAACCTTGATATCACGTTCTTCTACTATCTTGTATTGTTAATTTAGCTAATAGTAATTAAACTAATTCATACTACCTCAGAGGCACACTGCTGTTGTTCCTGATGTGGCAGTGGAACCTTAAAATACTTATTTTAATGGCTAACCATGCTAAACAGTGACCCCAACCCAGCAAATAATTTATAGATTTAGTTAAACACTGATGTTTGGGTGATTTAGAGCTGTCAATTATACTCAATCTTGTACAAGTAATTAAGTTGCTTCTCAGCATTGTTCCCAGGGAAAATAGTGGGAAAAGAGAACAAAATTTCTAACAACTACAATTTAAATCATGTATCACTGGAATATAACTGTATTCAACATATATTGATAGCAAGAATTAAAAGCTTAATTTTTCTTCGTGCATGAAGCCTCAAGTCATTTCACAATTGAATTACCATTAAGGAATTTCTGTATTTATCACAGAAAATCCATGTGTGTATTCCTTCTAGGAAAGCAACTGAAAAGTTCCAAAGCAGTATGGAAAACTGGAGAAAATTTATTTAAAACAAAACACCTTTATAAAACAATTCATTAGAGCATTTTTCCCACAGTAATAAAGAGCAAAAACCCAAGGCAAATTCATGCAGAAATGCCGTTTGCAGTTGGACAACTTTTTGTTCCACAGTTTCTGTTACACTTGGATTGGTTTGCCTTACATGGACAATTTGCAAAGAAAAATATATCTTTTTATGTGCACATGCAAGGCAAGATGAGTGAATGCAAAGATTCACATAAAAAAAAACCCAATAAGCATGAGTCCTGTTAGATCCAGATGGTAAAAGAAGCAACTCAGAGGGAAGACAAATGCTACTCAATGTGAACTGCCCAGTGCATGTGCCCTTTCTTTCTGTTAGTCACTGTAAATTTAGTAACTTCCCCTGATACCTTACTTTTCCATTTCTGTCAGAATGCCAGCCCACCTAATTTTTTCCTAGTATCACTTCAGTGTTTTCTTAAAGCTTGCTAGCCAGATATTTATAAAATTCATTTACAGAAACATAAAGTAAAATAGGACTCTGAGTTCACCACACTGCAAAAATCTCAAGAAAAAAGCTTTGCATTTTGCCTAGCACTTTTTGTTACGTTAAATATTTGTCAGAAAATGAGCCCTGCAGTAAACTAGGATCTCTAAGGACATTTTGAATGCTTGCTTCCACTTTGAATCCTTGCAAAACACTTGGGAAGAATGCTGATTCCTGTAAATACTTCAAACTGCTTTTTGCTAGCTTTATTCATTTATTCATTCAGTACGCCTTGTTTGGGATTGTGCAGCACTGAAAATGTAAGTTCTCGATTTTTCAAAGATCAACTCTCTTCCTGAAAAACAAAGTGTAGCAAAAGGTTCTATTAAAAAAGGTTTAAAGGAAAAAGGTCTAATCACAAAAACTTCCAGATTCTTCAGAAATAGAACAGTAAACATATACAATGTTACAAGAAAAATCACAACGTAACCATAGTATAAATTACATGAACTATGTTATAGACATAGATGTTGCCTATCTCTTCTAAGTACTGGTATCCAGATTGCTTTAGTCTCCACATCAAAGATCTTATATGTGGACTTATACACTGGATATGAAAAAAGAACCCAGACAGCTCTTTTCTAAAGATCCTTATGCATAATTCTTGCTGCTTTATCCCACAATTTTTCTCAAAACACTTCTCCTCTGAAGGCTGAGGCACTTTTAAAGAAAATGTGTCAAATATACATGAGTAGAGAGAAATTTATGATAATGATCCATTTAACTAGCAACAGACTCAAATTACCCTATTGGAATGCAGTACCAGTATTAAGCATGGCACACCTTGAACCCGGTCAGGAATTTTTACATGTAATATGCACATTTGACTGAATGCCATGAACAAATTTGTCCAATTTATGAGAAATGTCTGATCAACATCCTATTTATTCTATTTTTCCCCGCATCTTGTGTCTCACATAGTATGTCACATCTCATATAATATCTGAAAATCATTTCAAGTCATGAGAATGTATTTTGGTATCAATTCTGAAGTAATTTTACAGGCGTATTTCTTACTGTTTTGAAGGATTTGTGGGAATCCATTGCAAGAATGCATTTATCTTCACAGCCTTCCTATAAGAAACCTCAGTTTTACCTCTATATTTTGTGTGTCAAGACTGTCAAAGAATAAGTCTCACTGGAAGTTATTAGGGGACCATGGAACAGATTTCTATTCCTTCAGAGCCCTAAAAGGCAACAACAACAGTTGGATCATTTTTTTCTTTTTGAGGAGATATAGTTGCAGACAAACATACAGTGTTGGATAGCTGAATGTTATTTTGAATTACAGGCCATTTTAAAGAGATAAAAGTACACAATCAGCTAGCTACACACTATTCAAGCAAGAGCTTTAAGATACAAAACACAAAAAACCCCAAAGGCAGATGAACTAACAGTTACTGGTTTATGGCTCCTTAGTAACTCACGCAAAGGAATTTTCCAAGAGCTCAGGAAAGTGAAGCTAGCTGCCTTTCCCCTAGGGAGAGGTTGGGTGGGCAGAGCAATACCTGCAACTGCTCTTCTTGCCTTCTCTTTGCAGCACTGGCAATAACAACAATAGTCAGTGTGGCTTTCAGAGATTCAGCCCAGGCCACTTTACTGCCCCTGCAGTCTACTGCACCAGGCAACCTTACCTATGCCTAGAACTGGCAGAGCATTATATGATATATATTGTTTGTCTGTTCGTAAGCATGCACACACAGAGCATATACCTAAAAATACTCAGTTGAAGGCTGTACATTTCTGTAGCAAGATTTTGCTAATAAACATAATGATCATTTGTTTTCCTTGAATCTTTATTTTTCTGTGTAATTCAATTTATTTGTTGCTCTTTACCTATGTCTGCAGAACTGATAAATCAAAGCTGGTAGGTGCGGGTCCAAATCAATAAGAAAAACGTGGGTTCAGAAACTGCTGCAAAATTTATTATACCTCTCTGTTCACTGGTGTGAAGCAGAAAGGAGGCTTGAGAAAGAAGCTCAATGCAATGGCAACTAAAGTTCTGCTCCTTACTCCTTTTGCCCAATATCTACAAATGCTCTGTGAGGTTCTTGCTCTCCTAGTTCTCAAAGAGCTTTAGGAATTGACCTGGAACTCCGTATCTGCCAACTGCTTTGATAACTCTGGTTGGAAATACTCTATGTTCAGTATTATTTAGCTTTATTAGTAGTACTTAATCAGCTGCCTGAAAGACTGCAGCATCAGTCTGCATTGTCATTTCTCTTTTTTCTTTAATACTGCCCTTTCTTCCTTAGCTAACAAATACTAAGCCCTTCTTTTCACTTACTTTATCAAAACTAAGTGTGCTATAAACCAATACTGCTATGGTTGAACAGAAATTAATGTGTCCTCTTACAGCTGTCTAAAATTTTGCAAAACAAACAACTATGGTCAAGTTATTTGCCTTAGGAAAAAAGCAATCCCTTCTTTAACGTATATTCAAACTTCTGATGCAATACAACTAGATTCAAAATTCTGATTATATCATTTTTCAAAAATTATTTTATTGATGGTTTTATTTTCTGCAAACTGCAAATCTGCAAAGATTTTCTTAAATTTCAAAATAAAAGAACTGATAAAAATATTACCAAGCATAATACTGCATTCTTTAAAAAGATATATAAATTAGCCATACATTTTAAATAGACACCTCTTGTTTATTAGTTTCCAAGCAAATGTTACCAAAAACCTAAATTATAGTTGAGACTTTATAATGTCATATTTCATAATGAAATTTAGAGTTTGAATTTTTGTTCTCTTAATTTTGTATAATTGAATATTATCTGGTGAAATAGATATTTGACTAACTTTTAAGAACATACAGACATAGTATAAAATGACTGCACTTTCAATGCGAGCTATACATGTAAGTCCAACAACATATGGTTTTGTATGAGATTATAATAATTTATTTCAAAATATCACCCTTCCTAGAATCAAAAAATTAAAACAGCTAGAAAACTGAAAATTCAGAAGGGTTAGGTAAATTAAGTTTTCTTCTCTCTAGGATGACAGTGCTGGCAAGCAAAACTTTTATCTTTATGCAAAATCTAATTTTTATCAAACTATTTTTAAAAATTACAGGATTATCCATAAGGGTAGATACTTACAGATCCCACCACTTGAGAGGCACTATGAAATTCATCAATATCTTCCGTAAGTGTTTCAACCCCAGGTACTTGAGCTGTTCCAAAGAGGTAGAGAAGAATTAAATCACTCTAATTAAGTAAGCATTAGTCACTTTGAAAATAAAATGCCTATAAATTAACTGCTGGGAAGGTAAATATGGCTACTGTAAACGCACTGCTTTTCAGCTACACTTCAATGGATTTTAATTTATGTCTGATTTTAATTTATGTCTGATTTTAATTTATAAGCTTAATGCAATGTGAAACAGTGTCTTTAACACAATTAGAATAATAAACAAGCTTCCTTCAGCTGCCAAGGTGTCTTGTAGGTTACTTATTATTTTTACTATTAAAACTAAATACTGCTTGTCCTTTCCACAAGTGAGTAGTGGATCTTCAGCTTTAATAAAATCAATAAAATTAAATTTAATTAATTCTGTTAAAATAATTAGAATAAGTTAAAATCCTTGAAGTAAGAAGTTCTGGTCACTTTAGGCAATGTTTAAAAGCCATACAACCTATAATTTTTGCCCATACTGCCACATTTGTAAAACAACATGACTTGGTGAGAAGTCTAGAATGCCTCTTCGACACATACGTAATGACTTAAAATAGAATTTATGTACCTATGTCAGAGAAAGCAATTTCCAAGTAACATGCTATGCAGTTTCACTCTTTGCCTGACAGTCTGCTAGGCACTTAGATGCTGTTCACAAGCAGCCTAAGAAAACAAGATGCCCTGATCTTCCCTAGGTCCTGCTGTTCTTCAAACACTTAGCAGGGAGGTCCTTATGTTTCCATAGTGCCCTGATTTATTAAACATCTCAGATTATGCTTACTATAAAGACAGAACTATACTGAAGTATGGCAACTATGGTTACCACATTCATTGCAAACACAAATGAAAGCAGAGGAAGAAGTAATGATGATGCAAAGTTGTGGTCAGAGAACTGTGCAGGAGTTGGGAGATGATGCCACATTTTTGCCACTGCCATACCTAAATACCACATATTTCCATCCTTGTTAATTTTTTACCCTGGTCATGCACTTCCATCTGGAATAGCACTATATGTGTTTTATACATTCCTATTTCTATTGAACATCCCCAGTTTCAAACTTTTCCTCTACATCCAAATGCCTGTTTTGAACTTTCTACTATATTGGCACTTCAAAGGAAAAAAAAAAATATGTAGAAGCTATACATCCTAGTCTTTTCAAGTTTTTTCAAGTAGAAACTTTGTAGTTTCTAGTACCATATAATCTATCATTTTCAGTCCAATTATATTATTCCAGGTAGAGCCACAAAAGAAACAAGTCTTTGCCCACACCTCAGAAATATGTGGAGTTGCACACTACACTGCAAAGTAACTCACTTTACAAAAGAGCTTTTCTCAGACAAATTGAGGAGTAGTTTAGAAATTTAGAAGTGCTATGCTTTTCACTTATCCAATATTAAGAGTTTACTCCCTAATAAGTTATTGTATTTCAAGCTTCCTTCTACAAGAATGCACTGACTGCAAAGATCTTATCTGCAATAATGTCTTCTTTTACTGCCTTGTATCATGGCTTTCACTCAAAGGGTAAGGTACTTTTCAGCAAAAGAGACTGAAATAAGTGAAACAAGGTCCTATGGTACTTATAGGCAACTGGGATTAAATGAACAATTACCCTTTAGTGATATTATTTCTTAATATCCAAATTAAAAAAAAATACACAGTAGTAGATGACCTCTACAATTCCCCCAACCTGAAAAACAGACTGCGGGTTAACAGATGCAGATTTTTACTGGATCAATCCTGTTGCAGTGTCTATCTTTTGAAGCCTCAGCTGTTCTCCCCATCTATCTGTACAGAAGAAGAGCAAGGCTTAATGGAGGACTGATCCAAGAGACAAACCTGACAGGCTTGGCATCTACAGGGGAAGTTTGCTGTGCTGTCTACAAAGCTGTTTCTTCTAATAAAAATCAAGAACGTAGCTATTAAATTCTTCCCTTAGTTCTTTCCTGTGTAGTGGTCCAATGGGAAAGAGAAACGGGTTTGAGAGGTGTCGTTTAGGACAGTAAAAAGAAACTGCGGTGTTAAAGCATCTTGTGTTCTCCGATCTTGAGACCTGATTCCCATCTCTCATTTTTACTACTTAGATCAAACACACTTCTGTCCAACTCAGCAGAATTACACTAGAAGGAAATCAGTGTAGTGGTTAATTAGAACCAGATCCAGATTGCCAGTGGAGTCAGTATAGTGCCTGATGCTGCAGATGATCTGTTTACATAAGCTATTACATTGACTTTATTAGGTGGAATTGATTTAGTAAGGCTTATTTATAAGGGCTGTTAGATCAGATGTGCTGCCAATTACTTCTGAACCTAGTTCATCTGAAATCCACAAGAGAGATGCTCCAGATCTAACAACTTAACAATTTCCCACTACCCAGAAACAGATCATTATCTAAAGAAAGCTACCCTCAACTTTGCTGTGCATCAGCACCTTGCTTGCATATTCTTGAATGAACGGTTTACATCAGCACTTCCCAATGCATAGTTTTCTCTCAGTAAGATCATTGGTACTGATAAGTAAGAGCAGAAAATAAATTCAAATAAACCTGGTAAGTGAAGCCTGTTAGTCACTTTTTCATTATATAATACATTAAGAGGACATAACTAAAAATTCCGTGCAACATGATGCCTTGGTTACTTTGGGCTTTCTAACAGTATTTTTAGGAGTCTCTTTTATCACCTTCTCATACATAATATTTATTGGAAATAAATATCAGATGTACAGAAAACAAGTCATGTGCTGTATTTATAGGAAAGATTGATAGAATGGGCAGTTGCCTGAGTTCTGTGCCTGTTCCTAGTCTGTGCCTACTTGTAAAATCCAGCTGTGCTTTTTTTCAAATCAAGATGTATTACTAACCAACATTTTAGGAAAAAAAAAAATATTTTGAAAGGCCGAACATTTTTGAGAGCACCTCTTGACAGAAATTTGGCAGTACCTCACTGTTGACCTCAATCCTTTTGCCCTAGGGGCTTTGCTATTTTCTAGCTATATGACTAACAGGTTCATATATATTCACAGACATGAATACTATATAATTCACAGACAAGACTACTCCATCTTCTCTACATCTACATTTAATACTACTGACTCTGTAGTCAGTATGGATATAATACTACAGAGTCAGTAGCATATAAAGTGGTGCAACTCACAATGGCTATAGCACTCCTGTGCTCCATACTCTGTGACCATGAATGGTCCAGCTTCATTATTACACAGCATCCAGCACCTTCTGACAGTTTCACCTTCTCTAATCCTGATGCCTCTGCCACTCAGCAACAGCTCACTATTTTATTGAAGCCTACCGTTTCAGAAGACAGCCTGGAAAAGTGGGTATATTTCCACTTCAAGAACAAGGGTACACAGGAAGGAAAAAGGAAGCAGAGATCTGTTCAAAATAAATTGTTTCAGGATATGTAGAACTTTTTCCTACATGTATGTCTTACTTGTTTCTACTGCAATAATATCATACTTGCATATCCCCTTACTTATCCCAAACAAGCCACCACCACCTCCTTTCCTGGAGATTACTCTCATAACAGAATAATTTCGCCTTCCTTTCACAGGGCTTGAGTGCAGTCACCAGTCTGGGTCTCTCCTGCTGACAATCTTCATCAAGCTTGTAAGAACATCATATTTTGATATACTGAGTCCCCTATTAAATTTTTTTATAAAGTGATCAATGGTTGATGAAAAGAAAAACAAATGGTGTGACTGCATGAAACCATGCATTCTCACAAAACCAGTTTGGAAAATTTATCTTTAAAGACATACTAGTTACTAATGTTGACATACTTTGGTTTACAAATGAGCAAAAGCTCGGGTTGCCGTCATGCCTAATAGCACACCTAATAGCTGTTAGTAGGATAATCAAAAACAACAAAGGTTAGTTCCGATTTGTCTTGCATTAATTAATCAACATAGCTAACTTGTTCTGTGGCTGCTGAAGACTAAACTGCAAATCAAATCCTCCAATTAATAGACTTGGCTGGTTCTGCCCAACAGTAAGGGAACAGACTGAAAGATTTATCTTTGCAGATTCTCTGTCCAAACCTCTATTCCTTTCTGTCTCCATTCCAGTGACAGCTAAGATAAAGTTAACCTTCATCAACTTAATCTTCCATAGGAAAGCAGGGCATTCTCTGGCAAGATATCCCTTAGGAAGTGCCTTTTGCATTAGATTTCAGGCGTTATTCTTTTCAAAAACGTGAGCAGAAATTGAAATAAGGCTGAGTGTCCTGACTGCAGATTAGCACAACATATGATTACGTTTGTATGAGGAGAAAAAAATGTTCTTCAGATCTATTGCATAAACTCCTTTTTACTGTATTTTAATTTTAGTCAGTGGTGCTTGGAGAGATCAGAGAAGCATTTCTGATACTTAAAAACAGGGGAGAAATTCAGTAACTCTCTTTATTTTTACTGTATCCTGTGGATGCATTTGTAGTATTAAATATTTCAAAGACCATTCTTTGGCATAGAGGCCAACTGGCAATGGACAGCCCATGTCTACGCTATTAAGCTATTTTATATACAAAATAGTGTGCTAACATACAAATTGTCTACTAAGAACGAATCCTGGCCCAAGGCGGCTTCCAAAATATGCCTAGGAATTATTCTGGAGTGCTAATTGGCCATGACAAAAACCATGTTAGAGGCTCTTCAAACAGATTTGAAGTGTAAATGATTGAGTTCAAATGCCCAGGGACACTCTCTGGAAGTGTTTAATCTTCTTTTACAGATATAACCTCTACTCTTAAATTCAAGATGTTGGTGTTTGGGTTGTTTTTTTTTTTTTTTTATGAGCAGCAAATATATATATAACTTACCATCAGAGTCTGACACTGCTGGCTCAGATGTTTGAGATACCATGGAGACATCTTCTGGCCTTTCTGCCAAATTATCTCCTTGCAATCTAAATTGTGGAAAAATGGAACGAAAACATTTGCAATCATATTCCATAGATAAGACACTGAAGAGTGTTATCTCTGACTATGTGCCCTACTCACAACATTGTGCTAATTAAAAGGATAGTTTTGCTGAAAAGCCAACATCCATGGTTCAATCATATCATCCCAGATTGTCTAGTAACCAAAACTAGCCTCTAAGAAACTGTCAACTGAATCCTAGCTTATGTATTTTTGTAAGACTTATTTTAACAACAGAGGGGTTTTGGTGGTACCATGTGGATATGAAACTGCAAGCTTCCTCCACTACATTCAAAAATATTTTAATTGAACAGGACTGTACTGGGTGTCTATGTCAAGGTGTTGGCAGTGGGGGGGCTGCAGGGGTGGCCTTGGTGAGGAGAGGCCTGGGCTGCCTTGTGCCAGACACAGGTGCTTCCATCCAGCTCCAAAAAACCCACAGTAGGACACAGCTGAGCCCCTCAGCCAAAATAGTGGTGCCTTGGAGAAAACATAGTTAAGGAAGAGCAAACAATGCCACACAGGCAGAAGAGCAGGGAACAGAAAGAGTGGGAAACAGCAGAGGGAACACCAAGGTCAGAGGAGGAGCTGCCCCACGCTCCGGAGCAGATACTCCCCTGAAGCCCATGGCCAGAGCTGATATCCACTGCAGCCCGTGGAGGACCCACACCAGAGTAGGTGGATATGTCCTGGAGGGACTGTGGCCTGTGGAGAACCCACAACGGAGCACATTTTTTTCCTGAAGGACTGCAGCCTGTGGGGAGAACCCACACCGGAGCAGGTGAAAAGTGTGAGGAGGAAGGAGGGGCAGAGGGGAGCCATTATGGACTGACCACAACCCCCCATTCCCCGTCCCCCCTGCACCGCTCAGGGGTGGGGAAAGGAGTCTGGAGTGAAGGAGTGAAGTTGGGCCTGGGAAAGAGGGGAGGAAAGGTGTGGGTTTAATGTTCGACTTTTTGTTTCTCATTACCTAAATCTATTTTAATTGGCAATAAATTAAACTAAATTTTCCCCAAGTCAAGTCTGTTTTGCCCACAACAGTAACTGGTAAGCAATTTCCTTGTCTTTATCTCGACCCATATGCTTTTTCATTCTATTTTCTCCCCTTGCCCTGCTGAGGGCAGTGAGTGAGCAAGTGGCTGGGTGGGGGACTGGCCCTTAGCCAAGGTTAACCCACCACAGGGAAATACATGCAAGAATATTTCTTCCTCCTTTGTTACTTTTTAAAAGAAAAACACAGCAATTATGGCAGGCTTCATCTTCAGGCTTTCCCCCTGCATCAGCTGACTGCAATGCCTTGACAGCAATTTACAAAAATAGTCCTTGTATCTGTTCTTTTAAATGAGCATCCCAAGAATCCCACCATCCTTCATCGGGCTCTTATGAATCCTGAGTACAGATCCAGCTCTGAAGAAATGGTTTGTAGCTCTTAACACAATATAACTGCCATTTACATAAAGGTTATCTTACTTTGAATTTATTCAGACATGAAAAGAGTAAGAAAAAGGCAATTCAATTTTGCAAAGCCCAGGAATCATAAAAATGCATTGAAGTAAAACCTTGGGGAAAGAAATAACTTATCTCTTAAAAAAAGTTCCTTTCTCTCTGTATTCTCACTCTCTGCAGCTGCTTTACACTAAACTTTGAATAAACCTTTGAAACCAAGCAGAACCCCCATATCTACCCTATCTGAATTTCACATTTTATGACCCTCACAGTTATCTAATATATTTTGATCTTAAGTCATCTATTTATTTGTACCTTCTGAAACCATTCCCCAACACACAAAATTACTTTATCTCCTTTTATTGCCCCTGGGACGGTTTATTTATGACGGAAAGCTCAATGTAAATTCATAATGACTCTTACCTGAGGAGGCAGTTCCCTAGAACACGAAGTCCTCAAGGCAACAAAAGTGTAAAACTTAGAAGCTGTAAACCTAATTTTGAAAATTACTTCTATGAATCCTTTATAGCTCTATACCTGGTTTGTAATGCTCTAGTTATCAATTCTTTAAAAGTCTAGCTTGTCAAACAGGCTCTTCTAAAGATGACAGTCAAACAGGAGCAAATAACTTGTACCATTATCATAAAGATATTCAAATAGGGAGAAAAGAAATTGCAAATGAAATAACTACACGAAAAAGGAAGATCTCTAAAATCACATCATTTTCCTTTGCATTAAAATTGACCTGTCCTCCTTCATTACATACATACACATGTCTACTGCAAGCACGTATTCAAGCTTATAAGGATATGCATGGAATTGCAGGAACCAGAAGTGATGTACTCTTCTCTGTAGCCATGTTGATAGTTCATCTGTGTTTAATTAAAAGGAAAATTACTCCAACCTTCTCTGTTTACATTGCATTTGTAAAAAAAAAAAAATCTTTAGAAGAAGGAGCTGCTTCTTTTATCCCATCAAAATTTTCAAGTTTTTATAAGAAGTTCCCATTCTGAACTTTCATAAATCCAAACCAGACATGAACAACGGAAATTATTCTCATATTATTCCAGAAATTACATATATTTAAGTGGCTCATTGCTTCATGAAAAAGATGCAAAAAAAAAATCTTTTCAACATATCTGGTCAGAAAAGCCATTTTGTATGATTTCCCTTTGTAGGAGGAAATGGCTGGGTGAACTGGGTGGGTGGATGCGTGGGTGGATGGGTGAATAAGACGTTTGACATATCTGGACCTCAATTTCACATCCAATTTTCAACTTATTTATGTATTTCTTACATGTGGATTCATATTGGAATAGATTTTCATGTGACTCAAAAGAAGTCACAAACACTATTGCTGGCCAAAAGAATTCTGTTACTTGGACTATTCTGATTTCTTCTTCAATAGTAATACTATTCATAAGACACTGCCACAGAAAAATGAAAACACTTAAAAATTCTTAAGCAATAGATTAGAGAGAAGCATACGTCTAGAAGAGCTCCTGAATGCTTCAGAAGCTCATACAATCAGAGATAGAATCATAGAATCACTGAGGTTGGAA